TAGATCAGAAAGGAGTTCAGATGTTTCTCCGTACATTTTGGTTATCAGGAGAGAGAGAGCAAGAAAATTGATAATGATTCTGACAGCAACTACAGTTATGATGGCACACTTCTGAGAACTTATTATAGTTAAGAAAAGGTATGGAGTGCACAGAAGTGGATGTTGCTGCAGCATGGTTTGATATCATAGCATAATATTTGAAGAAGAGAAAGATAATGCATACAGCAATGTGCATAAAGAAAATAGTTACTAGTTTTAGAGAAAAGTGTTCAGGTGTTTATAGATATTTTTTGTCCAAAACTTAGGGACCAACTATTTAAAATATGTCATATTTTGTGAGAATGTATAGGTTTTTCCTTTATTATAGTGCAGTAATTATATTACTTTTTGCTTTGCTCTCATAATTTATCAATTTCTTAGTAGAAAATAGAGACTATATAAAAAATAACTATGTAGAGATCTGATTTGAAGAAGTAAAAGGCACTTTTCAAAAAGAAAGTAGGATGATAATCATTGAAGAAATATTCATTGCTTTAAAAATCTCTTCAAGGACAAATGAAAACATTTTCATTTAAATTTTGCTATTTCAGACGACATCAGACATGTTCAGGGTGGTATGGCCGTAGACTAAATTTTGATATTTCAGAATCAAAAGAACACCACAGAAAGTTATAGTCACAAAAAAAGGAAGTTATACAATGTTCTGGCAGCATCCACCTTTTTAATCATATGAATTCCTTATAAAAGTATTTTAATGACCGGGTGTGATAGCTCTTGCGTGTCATCCTAGCACTCTGGGAGGCGGAGCCGGGAGGATCGCTTGAGGTCAGGAGTTTGAGACCAGCCTCAGCAAGAGCAACCCCATCTCTACTAAAAATAGAAAACATTAACTAGGCATGGTGGTGCACGTCTGTAGTCCCAGCTATTCGGGAGGCTGAGGCAGGAGGATTGCTTGAGCCCAAGAGTTTGAGGCTGCAGTGAGCTATGATGACACCACTGCATTCTAGCCAGGGTGACAGAGTGAGAACAAAGATCTTTGTGCCTGTATCTCTGAGTACTTGTGCAAGGTTTTTGTAGGATAAATTCTAGAGATAGAGTTGTTAGGATAAAATATGTGAATAATCAAAAAAAAAAAGAATGTATTTCACAAGTTCGATGTGTGTAATTCTTCAGACTTGGATTCAAGTCTTGGCCCTGTAGCTTACTGTACATGGGACCTTTGACCAAATTACTTAATTTCTCTAAGTAAGATTAAGTGAAGTGATGCATGTAAAAATACTGACTCAGTAATTGTTTGCATAATTTATATAAAATCTGTTGGTAAGAATAATCAAGGATTTTTTTTAAAAAAATTTGAGATTGGTTTATCAGCTTTTGTCTTATTTCAGCATCTAGCTTATTTCAGGTTTTAGCTTTGTTTGAATAGTATTAAAGTGTTAATTCATTTAGCCAAGTTGTAAAGGATAATACTTTAAAATTATCGTGTGTTCTATTAGTGTGCTCTTTGGTTAGACTGATTCAGAAGCTTGACATTAGAGAAATAGGACCTTTTCTTTCAGTACCTAAACTGACCACATTCATTATGTAAGTATGACGGGCAAAGAATATGTATTGTCACAGCTTGGAGTGTTATATTTCTTCTTATTATTATACAATGGATTATTATCTCGTAAGAGATATACCAAGCAGAGGTGCTTGAGATAAGTCTGGCATTTAATTTTGTGTATGTCTTGTGATAGTGTATTTCGGTTATATCTGTTTGCTATCAATATATGTAGATCTTCCTTTTTTAAATGGCCGCATTCTTTATATGGATGTACCATAATATATTTAGTACAACTATATCCACTTTCGATAGATGTTTTTAGACTTTTACTATTACAAATACTTCTGGAACAAACATCTTTGTGCCTATATCTTTTGAGTACTTGTGCAATATTTTTGTAGGATAAATTCTAGAGTTACAGTTGTTAGGATAAAATATATGAATAATTAAAATACGTGAGGGACATTGTCAAATTATTTTCAATAAAGGTTGCATGAGGTCACATCTCTACAGAGTATGGAAGTTCTTATTTCAGTACATATCCAGTGGCACTCAGTCCTTCTAATCTTTGCTAAACGTATAGGGAAAAATGTAATCTTGTTTTAATTTGTATTTCTTCGATTATTAGTGAAGCTGCATAACTTTATATGTGTTGCCATTTGCATGTTTTCTCTGAACTGCCTGTTCATGTTATATATTCTGTGGTTCGATTATTATTAATCTTAAGGAGTTCTGTATAGATTATAGATCAAGGCTATTCCACCTAATGTGTCTTTCACGTGTGAAAACTTTTGTTAGTTTTAGGAGATAGGAATTTAACTTTGAAAATGGTTTTTTTTGTGGTAGGATTCTGAAAAATGGTAATATTATTTTCATAAAAAATATAATTATTTCCTGATAATATCAGAACTTTGATCCAGCATTTGCTAAATTATGGTCCACATAGATTTTAATAATTATTGGTAAAATA